CTTTGTTTTCATGTTTATGAGTTTATTTATTTATTCAGCAAGGATTTATGTAGCATTACCATACACCAGGCACCGTTCTGAACCCTGCTGTTGTTGCCTAGTTGCTAAGTTGTGTCCTGTTCTTTTGCTTGGCCCCATGGACTATAGCCTGCCAGTCTCCTCTGTCCGTGAGATTTTCCAAGCAACAGTACTGGAGAGTGTTGTCATTTCCTTCTCCAGGGGATCTCCCCGACCCAGGGATCGAACCTGTGTCTCCTGCATTGGCAGGCAGATTCTTTATCACTGAGCTACCCAGGAAGCCAGGTTCAGGATACTTTCTGCATCAAATAAAACTTATGTAATAATTAAGGGTGTGGGACTCTCTCTCAAAGTCCTGAGGCTAGAGAGATTGGGGAGTCTCTTGATTCCTGTCTGTTGTTTGAGTCCCTCTATGAGTTTTGGCCAAGTTGTCACTTCTGTTTGAATCTCTCTGGGTTTGAGAAACTCACTGCCTCCAGGCTCCTGGTTCTAGAGAGGGGCATTCAGGCATCTGTGCAGTTTGTCATGCTGGGTGGGCAAGGTGGCAGGTAGTGTTAAGTGCCCACCAAACAGCCCTCCTCCCTGCCCTCCTTACTTATACAAGTCCAGTTCTCTCCAGGGCAATGTGCCCAGCAAAAGTTAGACTCCTGTTTCTTCACAATAACTGTGGGCCTTGTGACATAGTTCTGATCAATGAGGTGGAAGCGGAGATAACTGTATGGTTTTCCTGAATAAAAGGGGGTAGGGATTTTTAGCAGGCAGCATGCCTTGCCCTTCACTCTTCCCCCTTTTCCTGACTGGAATATGGATGTGATGGCTGGAGGTCCAGCAGTCATCTTATGAACATGAGGAGGAAAGCAATGTGCTCAGACTGGAGGGAAGGAAAGCCTAGGTCATGGAGGGCAGTGTGGATGTGGAACATCAGCCTCAAGTTGCTGTTATCACGGTGCTTCTCACTGTGTGAGGAAGATAAGCCCTTTTTGGTTAAGCCTCTGAAATCAGGCTTCTGATACTGGCAGCCTAATGCAGTCCTAACCAACACACTGACCCAAACATTCTATAGTGGATGCTGTTCTTTAGGCTTGAGCAGCTTGGCCTTTAGTCCTGTTTTACATGAGGCTCAAAAAGTTCCAAGGCTGTAGGAATTTGTTGCATTCCCTGGGAAGCAACAGGGGTTCATACTCCTGTGATGGATAAAAACAAGCTACAAGAAATCCCAGCTGGACATCCCCTAGAGGGTCCTGCTGAGGTGGGGCCCTCCTCCCCTGGGCTCATCACCAGGATGTCCTAGAACAAGAGAACATGCCTAAGGAGCAAGATTTGAAAAAATGCATCTTGTTTTGGGCCTAGCAATTTCACTTCTAGGATTTTGTTTTTAAATAACAGTCAAAGAAATGAACAGCTATTTGTATAAGAGAATATTCATTCACCACAGCCCTATGTGTAACAGTGGAAACTAGAGAAAAATTAAAAACCCTACAGCAGAGAAATGGCTAAAGAGATTATGACACATCATAATATGCTGTAGATGCAACCCAGCGCATTTGTGTTGTGGATGGCTATTTATTAAGGCGAGAAGTTATCGCTAAAAAATATAAATTTTGAGCATGCTCAGTAGAGTTCCAATTTTGTTAAAACTACCTCTATATGGCCCCCTTCTCTTTGACTCCAGCTCTCTCAGGATGCGCCCCAGCGGTAGCTGCTCTTATTATGCTTGGCTGCCACTGCTTACCCCACCAGAACTTGTGGCCTGGAGGACAGGGGTCCTGTCTTTCCTTCTTGGAGCCCCAGGGACTCACACCAGCCCCAGTACAGAGCAGGCCGACATAAACTTTTCTGGAATAAAAGAATGGAGAGCTGGCAACCAGAGATTCACTGCTCCCCGCTGCTCCCAGGGAGGGTCTCGGTGTTTCCAGGTCCTGCTGACCTCTCCCTCTGCTTCTCTGCCTGGCCCAGTGACCACATTCAGGCTGTCTCCCAGGTCAGAGACTGCTATCCCCACTCCTGGCTGTTTGTCAGCCTCACCGCCTCACCCCACACCAGGGCAATGAGAAGCTCTGGGGTTGGGCCGGCCGTGTACATCAGGACCATGCAGCCTGCAGCCTCAGAATGTTGCCCTAGAGATGCTGCGGGGAGTGGGGCTCAGTTATGATGCTGAAAGGGGATTTCAGCAGCTGCCAGCCATCGTCAGCCATAAGGCTATCATCCCCACCCCATTTTGCTGCAAACAGGCAGTGTTTGGGTGGCCCTGGAGGAGCAGCCATTGCCACTCCATGTGACGTGGTAAGAGTTCACCTGCAGGAACAGTCGCAGAGCTCAGGTCCTGCTCCTAGGCTTTCATTGGGTCCATTCACTTAGTCCTTACAGCCAGCTGTGAGTTGGGCATCACTACTACCATCTGCATCTCACAGAGGGGCTGACCCAGACCCAGAGAAGCCAAATAGGCCTTTCTGGTCACATCCCTGTCCTGGGATGAGGTGGGGCACCATCCCAGGTAGCTTGAGGCTGCCTGGGGGCAAAAGAGCCCTTTTGCCCTGCTGAGTGGGAGTTATGTGTCTAAGCACCTTCTATGTGCTCAGAACCCTCCCACATGCCGCCGTTTCAGAAACTTGAAAGGAAGGCAACATAGATAAAAATATAAGAGGAGCAAGAATATCAAAGATGGCAGGCTCTTTTCCATGCTGCCTTCCCCAGATCAGTCTTGGGGTGGGGGCTCTTCCCGTATTTGTCCCCTCTGACTCTTGTCCCCTCTTTCCCATCCTTCTGGAAACCTCCCCCTTGTCCCCAAAGAACCTAAGCTCTCTTGAATGGAATTGCATCATTACCCAAGACTCATTGGCTTGGGCTGCCGGATGCGGGGCGGGCACCTACAGGATGAAACTGGGGCGATGGAGACAGATGGAGACCGGAGGGAGATTTGATTACCTGCTTCTCCCCAAAGCTGATCCGCCTAGTAACAATGTTAGGGCCCATTATTGATAGGCTTCCTCTTGGTTGCTGCTTGAAATTTGGTTTGTCTGTGACTTCTTATATCCACTGATGCTCAGAGATGGATGAGCCCGGACTGAGCTCAGAAGTTGCAGGAGGAGGGAGAAGGGAGGTGGCAGAAGATGAGTGCTGTGCAGACAGTTGGGGAGCAGGGGGTCGGCCAGGGTCAATTCAGCTCAGGGCAAGGGCCGTCTGGTGAGACGGGGGAGAGAAGATGGGTCTGGAAGGTGGAGCATAGGGGCATCCTGAGAAGGATGGTTTACATGTGGGCAGTAATAGGGAGCTATGGTAGGCACTGAAGCCAGGGAAGGCACTGAAGCCAGGTGAGTATGGTTTTGGAGAAGAGGAGAAAAGGAGTGTGGCAAAAATCAGAGGAGATGGACTTCTTTGGTGGTGCAGTGGGTAGGAATCCACCTGCCGATGCAGAGGACCCGGGTTCGATCCCTGGGGTGGGAAGATTCCACATGCTTGAAGCAACTAAGCCTGAGAGCCGCAATTGCTGAGCCCGTGTGTCCTACAGCCCGTATCCCACAGCAAGAGAAGACATCAGAAAATGAAGCCCATGCTAGACCACAACAAAGAATAGCCCCCAGTCACCGCAACTAGAGAAAGCCCACACGTAACAGTGAAGACCCAGTGCAGCCAAAAATTTAAAAATGGTCAGACAAGAGAAGGATGGTGGGCATCTCTTGACTGTCCCTCGGAGGAGAGCAGAGGATGGAAACAGGGGTCCTCACCCCTGGTGAGTTGGGGGAGGGAAGGGGACTCACTAGGTTCCAACAGAGGCAAAATATCAACAGAAATGTGGCAGACATGACGACAGACACTGCTCGAGACCCGCACTTGTGTTAGCTGTCAGTCCCCGAAGGAGGTCTGCGAGGGATCTTGTGAGTCAAAGCGAAAGTGGAGGCCTGGGAAGAGTGACTCATTGCTGGGCTCCCTCAGTAGGGAGGAGGTCCAGCCCGGCCTATCTGATACTGGTGCTGTGTTCCTGTCTGACGCCAGGGCCGTGATCCTATCTGATATCAATGCCATGTTCCTCACCGAACCGTTCAGCCTTCCAGGGCTCAGGATACGCCTGTTCTTTCCCACTCCTCTCTGCACTTGTGCTCATAACAACGGTAACTAGCCACTACTTACCAACATCACATCTTATACATGTCCTCTCCAGTCACCGTTGGGCTTGATGACCCTCATTTGACAAGTGAGGAAGTGAAGCTTGGGCAGGTCGAAGGCCCGACCAGACCGCACAGCAGGTTCAAGCTGCCTGGTCGGTCCCCTTAGCTCACCATGCCCCATTCCGGGTCTCTGGCTCCTGAATTCCTGGGGTTAGTAAGGAGGGGAAATTGGCAGAGCAGCTCAGAATGAGATGCTCTGTATGGAAACTTCTCTGAGCACCCTCAGGCCTTACTCCTGCCTGCCCCATCTCTCTTTACAGCCCAGACTTCCATCTCTCCTAGCCTCTGCCTTGGCGGTTGTGGGGCAGGGACTGTGTGGCCCGGGCTGGGGAGGGTCTGGGGCCTGTGGGCATGTGGGGGCGGTGTGGCCAGGCTGCAGCCCTGGGCTTCCCATCCCTGGTTGTACCAGGGAGGGGTGTGGTGAATTGGGGGAGGGGAGGGGGCCCCAGAGAGTGGGAGCATGTCTCCAGAGGAAGCCAAGAGTCTCAGAGGAGGACCGAGAATGACTGGGCCTCAGCCCAGTTCTAATCCCTCTGTACACACTCCCTTCCCTAAGGATTTTCCTTCAGAAAAATCTGTTTAATTTTCCCAGCTCGGAGACAACGAGTGGAAGGTTTGGGGTGGAGTAAGGATGAATGATGGGGAGGTCAGTGGAGCAAATGGAAAAGCCAGTTTCTGATGTACCTTCTCCCCTCAAGAAGAAACCAGGAATGCCAGCCATCTGACTATGGACAGCAGAGCTCCTGACCAGCCATATGATCAGAACGTTTGGCTGCTGAGTGTCTAGTTTATTTTGTTTTTTATATGTGTTCTCAGAATAGGAGACCCCAAAGACAGAAACTGCATGTGTCCAGCACAGGAAATCTCATATTGGTGAACGTAATTATTGTGGTGGGGCGGACAGTGGCGGTGGTGGTCACCGTGGTGGAGGCCACGGTGGGTGTGATGACGGTGGCCGTGTGGTGGTGATGGGGGTGGTCACGATCACGGAAACCCTGAAATCATGACGGGGGTGGGTGGGGAGGGGGCTGAAGGGTGAGCTTTGTGACCTGACACAGCTGGGTCCCATCCCTGTCTCAGCATCCTTTAGCGGTCACTTGGGAAGTAAAGCCTCCCTGAATCTCACTTTCCTCATCGGGAAAACGGGGATCATTAGAGCTATTGGGGAAGTTCATGGGCCCGTGGGGTGGGCGCTGACTCCCTCTGTTCTGCTCCATCTCTCGGGGATCTCTGGTCCCTCTGTCTGCCCACAAACTTCCTCCAGTCGTTCCCACTGGCTCTTCCCTTAATCACCACCTCAATTCCTTCCTTTAGAGCCCCACACATTCTAAAAAAGAAGTTTGCACACATCGCTGCTTCTTCCTGACCTCCCACTCACTCCCCAACCCCTTCTTAGCAGCCTCCGGGTTCCCGACACTCTCGACGGAAATTGCTCTCCGAATGAGTAGAGTCCTCCTCCACGCCTCAGCCTCAACATCTTGGAGGAAATTGACCCTACAATCCTCAAGGCTTCCAGAGGGCCTCTTCCCAGGATGGCTGGGCCTGCCTCTCCCTCCTCCCCACCACCTGGTGCATGTTCTGCCTCCCTCTGTCCCCAAGGACCAGTGCTCTGATGGCATCTCCTGGCTTGGTTCATGTTCCTCCAGTGTTGCCTGGTGTGAGTCCAATCTGTGCACAAACAGCTCCTAAGTCCATGTCTCTGTTCTACAAGATCGCCTGGTTAGAACCCCACTTCTGGCCACTGCCTAGGCTTCTCTGCTGGATTCCCTCCAACCTAGGAAAGGAAGGCGTCCAGTGCCAAACTCACTGTGTTCTCCCCAGGTCTACCTGCCCTCTCCCCTTCCTATCACCCTCATCCTTTCCTTTAAATTTCCATCCACCCACCAGTCCTGTCAATTTCCCCCGGTCATGGTTCTTTTAAAATGAACAGGGAATTTAATTTTATTTTCAAAACATTTAGACTTTGTTCAAAACATAAACTCAACATTTAACTTTGCCCTTTGAAAGTTTATAATCCTGATTAGCCAACACTCTTTGGTATTAAAGTCAATGCATTAGATAAATCCCAGATCTTTTTTTTTTTAAACTCAGAAACATAAACTCTGCTGTGATAATCCATAACATGCTAATCTGTGTTGTGCAAACTGTTGACTTAAAAAAACACACACCTTTTTAATGCTGTTGCAAACATCTCAGAAGTTTCCTATACATCATGGTGCTTGATTTCAGAAACAGGAGACTAGGAAATGTGGATTAACCTTACTGCTGAAGGTAATTAGAGAAGAAAGAAATACATAAAAATGTGGTATATATATATAAAAATGTATGTATATATGGGCTTCCCTTATAGCTCAGTTGGTAAAGAATCTGCCTGCAATGCAGGAGACCTGGGTTCGATTCCAGGGCTGGGAAGATCCCTTGGAGAAGGAAATGGCAATCCACTCCAGTATTCTTGCCTGGAAAATCCCATGGACAGAGGAGCCTGGCTTTGTGACCCTGTGGACTGCAGCCCACCAGATTCCTCCATCCATGGGATTCTCCAGGCAAGAATACTGGAGTGGGTTGCCATTTCCTTCTCCAGGGGATCTTCTTGACCCAGAGATCGAACCCAGGTCTCCCACACTGCGGGCAGACGCTTTAACCTCTGAGCCACCAGGGAAGCCCCCATATATATAAAAATATATGTATATATGGGCTTTCCTTATAGCTCAGTTGGTAAAGAATCTGCCTGCAATGCAGGAGACCTGGGTTCGATTCCAGGGTTGGGAAGATCGCCTGGAGAAGGAAATGGCAATCCACTCCAGTATTCTTGCCGGGAAAATCCCATGGACAGAGGAGCCTGGTGGGCTACAGTCCATGGGGTTGCAAGAGTCGGACACGACTTAGCAACTAAATCACCACCATATATATATACACGTGGGTATATATATATGAAAACACAAGACAACAACAGACTGTTTAAAGCATCTAAGTGCTAGGAAGATCAATAAGGCCATAGAGAATTATTGAGCTGAGATGTGGAGATGAGGGGGGTGTTCCAGGTTTCAGAAATGCTTTTCCTTTGGGAAGGAAGGAAACATCTAAGATGCTGCAGGGTTGATCAATGCTTTTGAGTGCATCCTGGGTGGTAAGAGACAGGCCTATCAAGAGAAGTGTTTGGGGACCCCCCCTTGCTTTGACTGGGGACCCTAAATGGCTGTATCTGAGGAGAAAGGATGAGCTGGGAGAAGACAAGTACTAACAGGGGTTGCAGCTCAGCTCGGACTCATCCTAGTCCCTAAAATTGGATTAAGGTGATCCAGGACTGCCAATGCCTTCAGGCTCTTGTAAATCCTCCCAGGAAGAAGTTATCATCCTGGGGTTAGATAATTTCTACAAATGATTTTGCAAGGACAAGGTCCAGGGCATACATACACAAAACAATCTCACAAAGACAAAAAAAAACAAGACTCCTCTGAAAACCTAAAAACCGAAAATGAGACAAATGATGAAACAATACAAACAAATATATACTATACAAGAAAAACATATATAACAACCTCTCTAGATGTTGGAGTTACACATGCAGATTTAAAATTCCCTGGTGGGAATTCCCTGGTGGTCCAGTGGTTAGGTCTTGGCGCTTTCACTGCTGGGGCCCGAGTTAAAAACTTGGTAGAGGAGCTCAGATCATGCAAGCCCCATGGTGTGGCAAAAAAAATAAAAAATAAAAAAATGCTTAGCATGATCGAGGAGATAAGACATAATTAAGAATTTGGCAGATTGGCAAGGATGTGGAGAAAAGGGAACCCCTGGCAAACTTGGTGGGAATGTAAATTGGTGTAGCCATTGTGGGAAACAGTATGGAGACATTTCAAAAAATTAAAAATAGGACTAATATATTATCCAGTAATTCCACTCATGGATATTTATCTGAAGAAAACAAAACACTGATTAGAAAGATATATGCACCCTTATGATCATTGCAACATTATTTACAATAGCCAAGATATGGAAGCAACTCAAGGGCCTGTTAGTAGATGAATGGGTAAAGAAAATGTGAGAGAGATATATAAAATGGAATATTACTCAGCTGTAAAAAAGAATAAAATCTGGGCATTTGTGATACCATGGATGGACCTAGAATGCATTATGCTCAGTGAAATAAGTCAGACAAAGACAAATACTGCATGATTTCACTAGTGGAACCTAAAAATTTTAGCAAATGAACAAATAAAACAACCAGAAATAGTTATAGATACAGAGAACAAAGAGGCTAGAGGTGAGGAAATAGGGCAGGAAATAAACAGCTGAGGGGGATTAAGACATACAAACATCCAGTTGCAAAATAAATGAATTATGGGTAAATGCAGTGTGGGGAATATAGTCAATATCTATGTAATATTTTTGTATGATGATGTGTCATAACTAAACTTTTCATGGTGATCATTTTGAAATGTATAGAAATACCAAATTGCTATGTTGTGTAACAGGAGCTAACTTAGTGTTGTAGGCCAATTATACTTCAAAAGTAAACAAACTTATAGAAAAAGAGACCAGATTTATGGTTAGCAGAGGCAGGGAGTGGGGGTAGGTGGATTTGGATGTAGGCAGTCAAAAGGTACAAACTTTTAGTTATAAAACAAAGATGTATTAGGGATATAATGTATAACTTGATAAATGTATATAATTAACACTGCTATGTGTTATACATGAAAAGAGTAAATGTTATAAGTGTTATACATATTAAGTAAGTGTTATACATGTTAAAAGAGTAAATGCTGGGAATTCATATCACAAAAAATTTTTTTTTTCTATTCTGTTAATTTTGCATTCATATGAGGTGATGGATGTTCAGCAAACTTATTAAGATAATCATTTCATGATTTATGTAAGTCAAATCACTATGCTTTACACTTTAAACATACACAGTGCTGCATGTCAATTATATCTCAATAAAACTGGGGAAAAAAAAGAATTTTGGCAGAGAATTGAAACTATTTTTTTCAAAATGGAAATTCTAAAACTGATACTAAGAATTCAAAGGATAGGTTTACAGCATACTAGACACAGCTGATAAAGAATTAGTTACTTAGAAGTTAGATGAGAAAAAATATCCAAAATGAAGCATGGGAAGGTGAAAGGATAGAAAATAGAGACGGCAGTCTACAAGACTAGAACAAACAGTGAAAAAGCTCCAGAGGCTGGGACAGAAGCAAGATACAAAGGGGTAATGGCAGAGAGCTTTCAAAAACTGATAAAAGACACCAATTCATTTATTCAGTACGCTCTGAGAGCCTAAATCAGGATAAGCAGAAGGAATATATACCTATGCCTATATGAGGAAAATGAAAGTACATTTTTATTATTAGATAAAACTAAAAGCTGAAAATCAAAAACAAGGAGAAGATCTTAAAAACAGAGAAAAGCAGTGCTCGCCTCGGCAGCACATATACTAAAATTGGAACAATACAGAGAAGATTACCAGGGTCTCTGTGCAAGGATGACACGCAAATTCATGAAGCATTCCATATTTTTACTACCCAGCAAGCTCACTCCTAGGCATATACCCTGAGGAAACCAAAACTGAAAGAGACACATATATCCCATTGTTCATTGCAGCACTATTTACAATAGTTAGAACATGGAAGCAACCTAGATGTCCATCGACAGATGAATGGATAAAGAAATTCGGTACATATACACAATGGAATATTACTCAGCCATAAAAAGGAACACATTTGAATCAGTTCTAATGAGGTGGATGAACCTAGAACCTATTATACAGAATGAAGTGAGTCAGAAAGAGAAAGATAAATAACATATTCTAACACATACATACTGAATCTAGAAAAATGGTACTGAAGAATTTATTTACAGGGCAACAATGGAGAAACAGACATAGGGAATAGACTTATGGACATGGGGAGAGGGGAGGAGAAGGTGAGATGTATGGCAAGAGTAACACTGAACCTGACATTACCGTATGT